TTCCAGTGCTGTCCACCTGTATGTGAGTCAAACAGGCCAACTGTCTTCCTTAAACACGGGTTTGCACAAAACTATGTGTTCGCTCGTCTCCACTGGTGCTTCCTGCCCACCAAGTGGAAGTGGTTAACGCGGGTTTGGGTGGAGGCAGAAACCTCCTGTGTTAAAACCCCAGTCCTCAGAAGAGAAACCTCATAACCTCTCAGATCAGCAGGCAAGGGCTGCTTCCATAAACACGTCTATCTACTGTAGGCTAGGAAGCTTTTTTGGAAAACCTCTGTGTTCTGGAAAACTGCACTAAAACCACGGAGATTAGAAATCAAGTGTAAAAAACAAGATATACTAATGGAACAACAGCAAAAAATGCCTGTACAAAATATGTCTTACTAAGCCTGATGAAGGCATTTACCCAAAGTTGCATGACTTGCAAGCAAGTTTTATGACAAAAACACAAATAAAACACCATGAATTGGTTGAAATAACTTATATTTGACCTAATCGTTTGCCAAATTGCCTAATCCCACCACCTTAAATGAGATTTATATGGTTTTATGTACTGAAAACAGTCGTAATCCATTTTTACATGATTTTCCAACCTTCCTTTATTCCCTATAATTGAACTGTTTTTGTTACTGTGCCTTTAGGGCTGATATATGTAAATGACCTCTGTTGTAATTGGCTGCACTCATTCAAAAAGCAATACAGACTGAAATGTCTTTATGAGGGGCGGGGCTAAACCGCTGTAGGCCGAATTGCTGGATATATAGAAATATGTTGGTTTTTTTGTGACATCACAAAAACAACAAATTCAAAGCAGATTAGCTGCAATTACAGTGGAGAGTGGACTGTATTAATAGAGAATTCCAGCAACTCTTTAAAAAAGTCTGCATAATTAAACGCTAAAGATGTAAACAAAGCCGTTGAGAGTTGTTTGATATGAAATGTGTGGCTCTAAATAAACTTACTGAGTCACAAGGGTGATGATAGGAACCAGACATCCACCCTTAAAAGCTCCCTCACAGGAAAATACTGAAGGAAACGGTTACAAATATGCTGCCTGACCCCTGAGACATTGTTTTTCATGATAATTTAGAGAAAATGTTTTGGCCTGAATTTTTTTATTTTGAATGCATGGCAGAATGTTACATGCAGGTCGTTGTAAAGCAAAGTAGTCCCGAAAGAAAACTTATTTTTTGTTTGTTTTTAGATTTCCCATAAATAAAATGGCTAAATTTGTATTGTAGTCATGGTGACCCCTGGTTCCTATCACCACCACTTTAAAGACATCTGAACCATTTCACACCAGACCACTCTGAATGACCTCGTCTACATCTCAACAATAATTCTGCAATAGAAATATGTTTTTCTGTGATGTGGGGACCTTGAATTGAGGCCGTGTCTCTGGGATGCACTTCTGCTGGCTTACAGTGCTGCTTATGTACACAGCTCAAAAGGTATTGAGACACAGCCGCTGGATGAAAGCAGAAATGTCATTACCCTCCGCACTGTTTACACGCTGCCGTCTGCTTCTTCTGCCTACTCTGCAAAATCTAGGCCACAGGGGTACGGCTAGCTTTGTGTACTTCAACTAGTGGGCACTTTTTGTGGACTGGGAGCTTCCCTGGTTTGTGCGCACTCTTCACCAGCAGCGGTGTGGACATGTGGGGATTGTGGGCTAGTTTAGGCAAGAAACATGTCTGGAACAAAAGCAGATCTGATTCAGATATCTGAGAACACGCTGGAGCACACAATCCTATTTCTTAGAGCTTACAGAACTCATCAATGACTTACTTAAAGCAAGCCATTTTGTTTTATTTGTGATAAAAAGAAGGTTAAATTATTCTAACATACACTAGATGGCCAAAAGTTTGTGGACCACCTGCTTATCCAATGTTTCTTTCAAAACCAATAGTATTAAAAAGGAGTTTGTCCACCTTTGCTGCAATAAATGTCGGTACTCTTCTGGGAAGGCTTTGCACTACATGTTGGAACATTGCTGTGAGGACTGGATTGCATTCAGCCACAAGAACATTCAAGAGGTCAGGTCCTGATGTTGGATGATCAGTTCTGGGTCACTTTACCTCATCCCAAAGGTATTGGATTGAGCTCCATCACTCCAGAGAACATCCACTGCTCCACAGCCCATACCTGGGGGGCTTTATACACCTCTAGCCCCCGCTTGCCATTGGACATGGTGACCTTAGGGTCATGTGCACCTACTCCAGAGCATTTTATTCACTTGTCATTGCTCTTCTATTGAGATTATGAGCTGTGTGTGCATTTGACCCCTGTGTCAGGAGTGGTGTGCACCTTAGAGTAGCTGAATTTACTAAGAGGAGTTGGTGTCCACAAACTTTTGGACACATAGTGTAGCTTAAAATTTCTCTTCTTACCCCAAGACAGGTTTGCTTCTTAGGTTTCTCACTGGAGCCACAAGGCTAACGTAGCTAACAAGTAATTGAAGGTTATACACCATCAATTAGCATTGTGCTAACCCGCATGTTTAATCAACACCAGCATGACGAAGAAACTGTACTTTAGTAAAAGAATCGGTATTTTAACATCTTTCTATTAAAAGTGGAAGTATGGAGCCAAAAAGTATCCACATTTAAACACAGCCAAGTATACAAAAGTGAAAAGTAAGTTATAACAGATAAATTAAGAGGACAGCAAACTCTTAAACATGGGTGTTCAGGTCTAAATCCAGAGTTTAATATGCTGTTTGTTGTGCTATATAATAATCTGGAGTTCAGCTTCATATTTATAGCCTTATCAGTTTTACAGAATTCAAGATTATCCTGTTTTCGTTCATCAATGTTCTCTCACTACAATACCCAGCATGCGTTACACTTGGAACCCCTAAGGTGTCAAGACCGCTAGCCTAGCTACTGAGCTGTAGGCTAATAAACACAACCAAACTAGCATTACTGTAACTCTTACCTCGGCCGCCAAACAAAACTGTAAAGAAAACAGCGATTCTATCTTTGTTCAGCACAAAATGGACAGTTTTTACTTTTTTAGTCAGAATGACGGAGCCAAACTGTGGTAAAGCATCTAGCTAGCCAGCTAACTTTAGCTTTAGCTTGTTGTTCTCCTCATCTGAGGAGTCATTTCTGTTGTTCAAGCAGTCCATCCTCTCCATTGTAATGATAATTTGAAGTAAACACAGTTATCCAGCCGCAATAAGATTTTAGTCCCAGTATTAATGTTAGGTATCTAACTTCCTTCTGTGTTCACCAGCTAGCTGATGCAAAAGAAACTGAATTTAGAATTTTCATTGTTAGAATTTGTTTATATTTCAATTCTTTTACTTTTTATTCTAATTTCTGTCTTCTTATGCTTTATGTAAGGCACTTTGAGTTTCAATGTATGAAAGGTGCTATACAAATATAGTTTATTATTATTATTATTATTATTATTATTATTATTATTATTTAAATAACTCCTCAAAAATCCACCCCAAAGCAGTCGCATCTTTCCACCTTCAACATACATCATTTGATTAGGGGTTTTATAGGCTTTACACCAGAAAGCCCCTCTCTATAGACTACTGTGGCACCACTATAGGAGGTGGATAAGCATGTTCAAAATGTTTTAACACGTTCAAATGTTTCATTTTGATGTAGTGTCCCTATGTTAAACTTGGTATACATACATAGTGTTGAGTAATATGAACTATCGTTTTTAAAAACTGGTGGCCTCTATGGCTTTTAGCAATCCAATCAACATAATTTTGTCGATTTTTATAGATAGATGTGTGGCAGTAAACCTGTTAGCTTCATTAGCCTCGTAGCTCCAGTGCAAAACTAAAGAAGCACACTTCAGAGACCAAGTCTTGGCTATTGCTTTAACCCTCTATTGTATGATGTTGCCTCTAGGCAACAAACCCATTTTCCTCACTTTACACTAACAATATACATATTTAATGACAATGACAGGGTCAGTAATAAAGGGAAGAGTTTGAGTAAGTCAATAAAAAGCATGTATTTAGTCACACTCTCTCTTATTGGACACTTTTAAACCTTTTTTTTAACATTCAGTATAATTTTTTTTGTTATGCGAATTTGCAGAAGTATGTTTATTGTAGGGCAGTGGAATGGATTTAACCAGTCACAAGCCAGGTCTCACCACATCGCACATTGTTGCCTCAGGGCAACATACCCCAAAAGGACCCCTGCACACATTACCTTGTAAAAATGTTTTTGAATTTAATAATCAGGTCGATTTTATGCAACAAAAGTGAATTGAATATTTTTTTTAATTGCTCTCATAATGCCGAAAAATACAGCATAGACCAGCAAGGATGGTTACCAGTAAAACCAGCACACGTTGTGTTTTGAAAGCTGGTATGCTGGTCATCCAGCATGACCATGCTGGTTGACCAGCTAAACCAGCACCAGACCAGCGCTAGACCAGCTTAAACCAGCATAAACTAGCTTAGACCAGTAAGAAATGCATGCTGGTCTGTGCTGTTTTTTCTTAGCAGGGGTTTTATTTCACCACCACTACTTCAATCACCCCAGGAATCTCTACAGGATGTAAAATTAAACCATGGCTCCTGTAGGACTTCACTTGTGCTGAAGACAAGACGTGAGCTACTGGAAGGGTAGCGGCACTTACATAACGTCCACTCAGACAGGCCGAGGGCAGCGCCGCATTACTGTTTGTGTACACAGGTGTGTCGCATGTTTGACTTCTCCCACTGAGCTGCATATCTGAGACTGAGACAAACATGCAGCATTCAACAGCACTGCAAAGCATGACGTCCTGGCAAGTGAAATCATCCTAAGTCTAGTCATTACATCTCACAGTTCTCATTATGTGTGTGTTGGAAGGCTATTGTAAGATTATTCAGCCTATCACCTGACATATGCTTGTTTTAAGGAATTTTATCCTAGCGAAATGATCTTATTCCATTATTCGGCTTTTTCCATCTGTCAACTGAATGCTTTGCAGTGAGGTGGAGTGAATCTGCAAAGCCAATTTAGACAGACTGACATCCATTTTGGCAAATATAAGGCTTCAAAGTTTAATACAACACAGAGACATAGACATGTTTTTCAGTAGCCAATATGTAAACAGGGCAATGAGTAATGGCACCTTTGCTTTAACCACCTCTGAATGTTGTTTGGGTGATCCACTCATAATCTGATCACAATACGTCCTGTGGCTTTTTATGTTGTCAGGTGAAATCCAAATGTGATCTGATCACCAAAAACGTGTTAATGCAAGGTGTGAACAGGCCCAATGACATAAAACGAACTGGATTCACCTACTTATCCATTATGAGGTGAAACTGCATCACCTCAGACAGAAATGGGCAAACACAAACGGGTGTTGCATCACTCTCTGGTGTTGTAAACAGCTTCACTGATTGTTTCAGCAGTGGCCTGATAGCTAACTAATGTGTTAGCTTATCTAGTTAGCATGAGCTTGATATCATCCTGTTGTTGTACATTACTAGCTAAGAAACGTTAACATGTAGAAAGAGTGAGTCACTTCATAAGACATTTCGGTTCAAATGCTCCCTAGGTAGAGCGGCCTATGTAGGCTTTAGGCAGCAAGGCAGTTCATCAAGTATTGAGACACGCTATGTATACAGGTTTCAGGTTTTCATACAATTACAGCTTTCGAAACATCAGTACCTTGTCAGTACTATTTACATACAAACCCAATTCCAGCCCAAGTTTGTGAAATTCCAATAAAAATTGAAAGCAGTGATTAGTAATTTCTGTTTGACCTGTATTAAACTAAAAACAGTACAAAAATGCGAAATTTGATGCTCTATCTCAAACATTATTGTTTTTTGTAAATATATCGCTGCTGTTACAACAAAACCTTGTACATTTTTGTTGTTTTTCAGTTTTTTACATAATTTAAAAATGCCGGTTGCCCTTTACATTTTGTGTAAATTTCATGATGAATGGACCAAAAGAAATGAACATGAAATGAAAATTACTTGGAAAAACGTTTGGTTCCATTGACTTACAGTAAAAGTGAAGTAAAGTTTTTTTCTTCTCTTGTAAAGTTACTATTTTGGAGATACAAGGTTTTGTTCCGACAGCAGCATTATATTCATTCCAAATTTTTTTCAGCATTAAAGTTGCTTTCACAGATGTGCAAGTTACCCACTAATACCCTCCGACACCATGACAGATGCTGGATTTTGAACTTTATGCTGGTAACAGTCTGGATTGTCCTTTACTTCTTCAGCCCGAAGAACATAACATCAATAGACAATCTGAAAGCCTGGCTCATTAGACCACAATACACGTTTCCACTGTGCGTCAGTATATTTCATATGAGCTCCAGCTCAGAGGTCGACTATTTGCTGATGCATTTTTTGGCAAAGTGGCAGGCTTTGATCCGTCCTTGCTCATAAAGGACAAGACCTTTCCTGGATGCTCCTTATATACCTTAGCATGAGTGCATCAACTGGTTAGGATGTTTTTGAACATTTCACAGCATTTTAGTCTTAAATTGCCCCAGTCCCAACTTTGTTGCAGACACTAATTTAAAAATGAGCACCCATTTAAAACAAACTATGCAGTTAATGAGTTAAAACTTTCAGTATCTTGTTTTAGTACTGTCTTCCTATAAATACAGGTCAAAGTGGATTTACAAATAACTGCTTTCTATTTTTACTTGCATTTCACATACTGTACCAATTTTTTTGGAACTGGGTTTGTGAATAAAGTAATAAAATAGTATTATCATCAAGCTTTTTTAAGTCCAAGGGCTAGTGAATGGATGTTCTAGCTAGTTTAAGATAACAGCTGCACCCTATAATGCTCTCCTTGCTCAGTTCACCATGCACAACAGCTACAGTCTTTAGACAGAGGCAGGCAGAGAAGGCTTTTCTGCTTATTTGGAACATCGAAGCTCCTCTTTGCGCCGTGTGTGATCTATAGAGATCCTCCAAGGCTCCAACAGGCCTGCAGGGAGGACACAAGGTTCCACTTCAAACCTTGTACTTCTGCTTCCCGCTCTCACTGATCACACAGATATGCTGCAGAAACAAGACCGGGAGAAAAAAAGAGAGATAGAAAGCTGTTATCACTCATTCTGTGGGAACACACATCTGGCTCAATGTATTAGACAAAGCTCAGTAATCTTATCTCCTGAAATAGTACCTCTGAGCATATGGTTACACATTTTGTTAATTTTCTAAGTAAAAAGAAGTTAAAACAACCTCTGCAAGGAACAAACTTATGTAAGACAGGTCTTAGATCATTGTCTTGTAATATCCCACCTTTCTTTGGACATTAGGTTTAAGGATTCGCTGATATTTAGTGAAATCCTTTCTTCTCTCTGTCCAATTTCCTGCGTTACTGGCTGCCAGACAAAACCCGAAGCATAACAGGTCCACCCCATTCTTAACACTCAGCAAGGTGTTCTTTTCATCAAATGCTGCTTCCTTATAATCCAAACATACCTTTGGATGGTAGCCAAAAAGTTAAATTTTTGTTTTCCACAGAAATTGATTCCAGAATACCTCTGATTCATCTAATTGTTGTATTGCATACTTCAGATGTTTTTGTGATGAGATCACAGTCAAACTTGACTTCTAAGGTAATAGATAAGATAATCTTATCACAGTTAAACTTAACTTCTAATGACCCTTTCATGATGTTTGTGCAACAAAACTGTGCAGTGAATGGGCCACTGCATCACTTTTCCTGTGGCAGCCAAATTTTCCTATAGGTCCTTGGCAGTGATGTGGGGGTTTTGCTTTGCATACCTGACCAGTATATGAGCAGTTTTGAGAGATTTTTCTGTCATTCATGTCATATTAGTTACTTTAGTAGTTATGGAATATGTCATAGTAGTTACTGAATAGTTTAGAATACTTACAGGATAATTTATAGTAGATACTGAATAATTCATAGCAGTTACTGAATGATTTATAGACGTTATTGAATAATTCACAGTTATTACTGAATCATTTACAATAGTTACCGATTAATTTATAGTAGATACTGAACAATATCTAACAGAAACTGAACAAATCATAGTAGTTGCTGAATAACTTAATAGATAATAGATACTAAATATTTAATAGCTGTTACTGAATAAATCAGGGTAGTTAATATTACAGTAGTTACTGAACAGTTTACAGTAGTTAGTGAATAATTTATAATAGTTAAATAATCATTTATAGTAGTTTCAGATTCTATAGAGTATGAATTAACTTATTTTCACAAATAAATCAACAAAACATATAATCTGACCAGGGGTGTTCAAACTTTTTGATACGACTGTATAGTAATTACTGAATAAATCATAGTAGTTACTGAATGATTTATAGTAGTTATTGAATAATTCATAGTTGTTACTGAATCATTTAAAATAGTTACTGAAAAATATCTAACAGAAACTGAACAAATCATAGTAGTTGCTGAATGACTTAATAGATAATAGATACTAAATATTTAATAGCTGTTTCTGAATAAATCATGGTAGTTAATATCACAGTAGTGACGGAATAGTTTACAGTAGTTAATGAATAATTTATAATAGTTAATGAATAATTTATAGCGGTTACTGAATAATGTATAGTAGCTACAGAACAATTTATAGTAGCTAAATAATTATTTATAGTAGTTTCAGATTCTATAGAGTATGAATTAACTTATTTTCACAAACAAATCAACAAAGCATGTAATCTGACCAGGGGTGTTCAAACTTTTGGATATGACTCTATAGTAATTACTGCATAATTCATAGTAGTTACTGAATAAATCACAGCAGTTACATTACAACAGTGCTATTAACTGTATGGGCTGAAGCTACGACTGAGAGATTAGTACAACTGCACTTGTGTTATATGATGTCAGAATCCTACAGGAAGAACATTAATGTGGGTCAGTGTGGCGTTCGTAGGGAAGCTGCTTACATTCAGATCTCTGAAGTATTCATTGTAATCCAAAGCGTAGCCGACCACAAACCGGTTTGGGATCTCAAATCCAACATCTGGAGCAGAGAGAGATTTATTGTACAAATAAAGAAACAAAAACAGCTCAAGAGAACAATAGAAACAGAAGAAAACATTGAACAAGCAAGTAAAAAACTATTTGAGAATAAAAATAATAAAAAATTGATCTGATAAATCTGATATTTGATCAACATTTGACAGAAAATACTGTACATTGTGCCCTAAACTGTTTTTTTTTTTAAATTAAAATATAAAACAGTGACCGCTACTCACAGTCCGGCAGACAGCCTGAGCTATTCGGAACCCTTTTCACCAGCAAACTGCAACCAGGATAAAGAAGCACTGTTTAAATGATCCACTCGGCTGTAGCGCCTGGACTTTCTATTACTGAGCTAGAGCTGATCAATGTGTCTGAGCATCCATACTGCTGTATAAACCTGATTTTCAGTGTTATATTAAGAGTTTGTCATTAACTGGCTGATTCAGATTGTTGAGGTTGGTGCTAAAGGTGGATGATATGGCAGAAATATAATATCACAACACTTTTCACACAATATTTATCAAAAAAAACAATGAATACAATGTTTTTCTTCATTCGTTTGCAAGAATAAGCATTTTAAGAAAGACCTGGAAAAAATAAACAACTGTTAAAAATAAATGAATATAATAAGATGATGTCATAACGGGCTAAGATCCGATTAGCTACTTGTTATAGTGCAGTTTATGCAGTAAACATACAGTGGTTGATGTTGTATCATAGAGACTCTCTATACACGCAGTCGTATGTACATTTTAATGCACGATTACTGTTTAGTTGCTGAATTTAACAAACAAAAAACAATTTAACTCACCCTGCCACTCTGATCATGTTGGGCCTGAAGGATCGGACATGGGTCAGCAGAGTCTTCATCGTTAAACCTGTGTCCACTATAGCCTATAGAGAAAGAGAGAGAGAGAGACAGAGAAAGAGAGAGAGAGAGAGAGAGAGAGAGAGAGAGAGAGAGAGAGACAGAGAAAGAGAGAGAGAGAGAGAGAGAGAGAGAGAGAGAGAGAGAGAGAGAGAGAGAGACAGAGAAAGAGAGAGAGAGAGAGAGAGAGAGAGAGAGAGAGAGACAGAGAAAGAGAGAGAGAGAGAGAGAGAGAGAGAGAGAGAGAGAGAGAGAGACAGAGAGAGACACAGAGTCAGAGAGAGAGGGAGACAGACAGAGAGAGAGAGAGAGAGAGAGAGATAAACAGAGAGAGGAGGGGGGAGAGAGAATCTCTAATTAGGATAGGATAGGATCCACACCCACTGCCCATCAGGAGAGACAGAAACTGAGAATCACTTCCTTCTTTCATGTTCAAAATATAAAACCATCAGAGACGCTTTTCTGCCAAAATGTACTGATGAATTTATTCATTTATTTTTATTATTATTATTATTATTGTTGTTGTTGTTGTTGTTGTTGTTGTTATCATTATTATTATTAGTAGTAGTATTTTATTTTATTTTATTTTATTACTCTTGGCATGCCCATATTCATTTCATGCTTATATGTATTACCATATTTATATTTCAAACTTTATAGCTTTGTTTTAATTATTTATCCTTATGTACTTCTTTTTTTAACATTAACTAATTCATTTATTTTTACTCAATTCTTTATTTATTTATATTTTAATAACAATTCAATTTAACATATATTTTACAGCTTTGGCAACATAGGTCTCATATCCTGTCATGCCAATAAAGCATATTTGATTTGATTTGATTTGAGAGAGAGAGACAGACAGACAGAGAGAGAGAGAGAGTTAGAGAGAGAGAGAGAAAGAGAGATAGATAGAGAGACAAACAGAGAGAGACACAGAGTTAGAGAGCGAGAGAGAGGGAGACAGACAGAGGGAGAGAGAGAGAAAGAGAAAGAGAGAGAGAGAGAGAGAGAGAGAGAGAGAGAGAGAGAGAGACAAAGAAATGGAGAAAACAGAGAGAAAGACAGAGAAAATGCTTTGCTGACACAGTACATTCTTGTTCTCTCTCTCTCTCCTAACATATATAATTTAACCCATTTTAATTCACAATTTCTATTTATTTGCTGAATTTAACACATTGGAAAAAAAAAATTCCCCCAATGTATTGTAATGTAAATTCAGCAAATAAACAGGAACTGTGTATTAAAATGTGCAGTAGTGTGTCTCTGTGGAGGATGTGTTCATTTATTTACACTTAGAAAATCAACAAAACATGTAATTTGATCAGTGATGCCCAAACTTTTGTACAGCCTATACCTAATACAAAAAACATCCAAACTAATGGGCTTCACTGTGTCTTATATGATTGTGTACGGGGGTTGGGCAGACTCTCTGAAACATAAGAGCCCATACAGTGTAGATCCAGTTTACATATAACACACTTTATGTCCTAAATAAAACCCCAGAGCTAAACTGGGTCGCCTGTTAACTACAAACTAATGTCTGTCCTCAAAATGAGGCAGAAATAATGATCTATACAGGCCTGATTTGGCCTGAAAGGACTCTATAATAGCTCCTGTAATGGGATGAGCTTGAGTGGCCACTGAAATGCTTAAAAAACAACGTAATTGGGCCTTTAAAAGTTTGAGCTGAAATAAACTGAGCTTACCTCCACGATCAGGACGTTCTTCAGTGGGCGAACGCAAAAAAAGAAAAAAAATTATATATTAGTCAACACATCACTCACAGACACAGTCAGTCCAGGGTTTTGCATTAGTGTTTGATGTGATACATTAAAACAATCAGTCTTAAGTGCAGCTGACTTACATTGTACTTCATAAAATGAACAGATGTTAAAGGGTCACTTTGGCCAAAATAAAAATGGAACCATCACTTCATCTGTTATAAAAATGCTTGCTCGCCTTAAACATTGGAGTAAACACGATTAATCACACAGATAATCTCCATATAGAATATGATCTGAGCCAGTAAGTAAGCCTCTATCCTATTAAAGCAATACTATGTCAGATTTGGGGATTTGGAGACCTCTCTGGTGGAAATACGTAATTGCAGGCAACATGCGGAAGAACATTATGCAACATCGGTTGTGCTTCGGACCCCCACAAGTGGATGAATCTGACTTTTGCGAGTGCATCAAAAGAGTAATCGAAGAAAACTCAGTCTAAACTTGACGAAAGACGCGTCTTCTGATGATGTGAGTGAATTATCTACTATTGTCATCATATCTTCATCAGTATTATGTTGATTTTGTAATTGAGGCCTAAGCATCGAGTCGAACCTCATTTTTGAGACATAAACATGTACGATGTGGTCCGAAAAACTCCCGCCAAGATTCATCTTGGTACCTTTAACTTTTAAATGATTGTTTTAGGCTTTACAGGGTGACTTGCAGCGGTGCATGCCCACCATATTTCAGTGTGCTCTCTTTTTCTCCACACTCAGCAATACAACTTGACAAAAATATTACATAGTGCTGCTATAAAATCTATGTAAGCCTCCTTATGATGACGTATCTTGAAGGTGGGAGGACCTTTTTGCCATGAAGGGGACTCTTAATGGCTGTATAACCTATTTATGTAATGCATGCCAGGTACTGAATTCAGCATTAATGAAAAAGGACAAAAACTGTACAAAACTGTGAACTGTGTCAAACTGATGAGGCACTCGCACACGAGTAATCACACAGATAATCTCCATAGAGGAAATGATCTGAGGCAGTAAGTTAGCCTCTCTATCCTTTTATATGAGGCTTAGCTATGATCAGCCATCGACAGACTTAATGCCTCGGCCTCCATCATCTTCATCCCTTTTCTTGAGAACATACCTGAATGCACTCTTCCGTGACTGTACCTTTAGGATTGATACACACTTAAAATTGATGGTTCTTCAAAGCTTCTTTACAGAAAATGGTTCTATATAGAACCATGAACACCCAAATAACCCTTTGCGAGAATAAACAGTCCTCTGCATGGTGAAGCGGCTCTTCAGATTGATGGAGAGTGTGCCGTAGATGGTTCTATGTAAAACCTTTTTTAAAAGGATTCTATATAGCACCAAAAAGGGTTCTTCTATTGTGTCAAGCTTGACATTATAACACCAGAAGAACGCTTTTTGGTGATATATAGAACAAAAGGTTCTATATGGAACCTTTCTCCATCAATCTGTAGAACCATTTCATGATGGAAAGAACCGTTTAATCATGCAAAGTGTTCTATAAGTGTTCATGTTTCTATATAGAACCGTTTCCTTTATTAAGGAATCCTTGTAGAAGCATCTTTTTTAAGAGTGCATGTAAATTAGCTCTGTTCTGATTGGCTGTTCCCCTGTATAGTGCCATATTTAAAAACATTCTGGGCTGAAACACTCACTGGGGTCTCTGACTGTCTGGGGCCTTTTTAGTTGTGTGTTTAAGGGGGAATCCACCAATTTTTTTCCAAAATTTCTGCTTAATTCAAATCAGTAAGATGTAAACAAAGTCATTCAGAGTGGTTTGGTGTGAAATGGTTCATTGTAGAGACATAAATAGATCCACTTAATCTGCTTTTAGGAGTTTAGCTCCGCCCACTCACACTAAAGTTATAAGGAGTGTTTCAGCTTGAACTGCCTTTTAAATGAGGCCCAATACAAAACAGCCAATCAGAACAGAGCTTGTTTACACATATCAGTCTCAATAGCAGCCTGTTCAATTCTAAGACATAAAGAGAGGTTGGAAAATGTTCATGTGAAAATGAATTATTGTTTTTGGTACAAAAACCTACTCAAATTTGGCAAGTGGACCTCAAAATACAAGAAAAATAAAGGATATGGGCCCTTTAATATCAAACTATTGACCAGTACTGTAGAGAACTCTGAGATTCCTCACACACTGATAAGGTGGAGCTGCTTGGGTGAGTCAGAGTTACACACACTCCTGCTACGTTCTCAAGCCCAGAAAACACACCACACACAAGCTTATCACTGCCTGCATCTGCCTCTCTGACCTTAGACCTCTGTGATGTGGTGATGACTCAAAAGGTGCTAGTCCAACCACCCGTAGATAAGACACATCCACCTTGCTTCCTTCCTTCCGTCCCTCCCTCTCTCTCTCCCTCCCTCTCTCTCTCCCTCCCTCTCTCTCTCCCTCCCTCTCTCTCTCGCTGTTCCCCCACCCTCTCTGTCAGATGACCAAGTGAAGTCACAGTTATAGCTGGAGGTAACATAAGCATGTTGATTGGTTGGGTGACTATTTTTTAAATTGTATTTGTCATTTTTCAACATTGAATCTAAGAACACTTCACCATTCAGAGAATGTGCTAATCCATCTCAGGAGTGATATTAGAAGGTTTCATTGCTTTTTTATACAGCATTTGTACAAACGTTAAAAATTTACATCTAACTTGATGTTCAATCTAGGCTAAAACACTTTAGCAACCACCTGGGATACCATAGCAAGGGCCTAGCAACATCTTAGCAACCAACTTGGGATAACATAGCAGCACCTTAGCAACCACCTGGGTTTCCTTAGCAATGGCCAAGCAACACCTTAGCAACCACCTGGGTTTCCTTAGCAATGGCCAAGCAACACCTTAGCAACCACCTAGGAGTCAATAGCAATGGCCTAGCAACATTTTAGTAACTAAATTGGATAATTTAGCAACACCTTAGCAACCACCTGGGATACAACAGCAATAGCCCAGCAAAATCTTATTACCCACCTGGGACCCCATATCAATGGACTAGCAACGCCATAGCAACCCACTGGGATACCACAGTGACACTTTAGCAACCAACTGGGATACCATAGCAATGGCCTAGCAGCATCTTAGCAACCACCTGGCATACCATAGCAATAGCCCAGCAGCATCTTAGCAACTACCTGGGATACCATAGCAACAGCCCAGCAGCATCTTAGCAACCACCTGGCATACCACTGCAACAGCCCAGCAGAATCTTAGCAACCAACTGGGATACCACAGCAATGACCCAGCAACATCTTAGCAACCAACTGGGATACCATAGCAATGACCCAGCAGCATCTTAGCAACCAACTGGGATACCATAGTAACATTTTAGCAACCACTTGGGATACCATAGCAATGGCCCTGCAACATCTTAGTAACCACCTGGGATTTCTTTGTCAAGCTAACTTAAAGTTTGTTCACAAACGTTCACCTGCTGGTTAATATATGAATTTGTCGTTAAGACAAAGTCGTTAATTCAATTGTAAATGTACTTTGTTATCTATGTAATTAATAACATGTAATTACGTTTAAATACTACAGCAAAAAGACAGTAATAACTTCAGACTTAAAGGATGTTTACCAGCCTGTAGATAAGATTTGACCCCCCCTCCACCACGTTCCCCTTCTGCTATCATGATTCTTAACAGTACTTTGTCACTTCGAACAGACTTTGACCCCAACCATCAGATAAGGACTGAGGTGACTCTCGATAATCAATGACAAATTAAGAGTGAGATTATTACAGAATCACATCCTCACCTTTCCGCTCAGCACAGACAGACTCTCCGCTCCTATTATTTGGAGGTCTTGCGTTGACTGGTCATTCTAGTTTGAGGAAAATGCAAAAGAAAAACAACTTGATTTAAAAGATCTATTATATTCTATATTGTACATTTCCCATATATTTAATTTCCAGTCAAGACAAAACAATCTTTAAGTACAGGTTATTCATTTTTCAGCATCAGTAATAAAACATATATTTAATATAAAAAAGCAAACCCCCAAATATAATATAATATAATGTGATATATTTTCAGTATGTAGCCCTACTACAGTTTTTTTTTTCAGGAGACTCGCTTTCAGTTTCTCAAAGAAATCTGCAGCCACACCTCTAAAGTTCAGTCTTAGAAGCTGGTTGCACTTTCCAGTTCTCACGATCCAAGCAAACCCAAACACATTCAGTGATGTTGAGGTCTGGACTCTGGGGTGGTCAGTCCATCGTTCAGCTTCTTTGTTTGATGTGTCCGTCTCCTTTTCTCAGTGAGGTTCTTCTTGATCAGCTACACATCCTTTCAGACCCACAGCGCTGAGTCGTCTTCTCACAGTGGAAGGATGGACAGAAACACCTGTGGATGTTTTCAGATCTGAAGCAGCTTGATTTTCTCCTCTCTCTCAGAGATGAAAGCTTTAAGTGCTGTTTATCTGATGGGGGCAGCTTTGGGGTCTACCAGGTCTTCCAGGTGGTTGTTAGGAGTCCCAGTTTCTCTGTAGCTTTTAATCAGTTTTTAAACTCCAGTTTTGGAAACTCCTGTTTTTTTTTACTTATTTTCTTTTGACTTGCTCCTTCCTCATGCAAGCAAGACTTTGTTCCAAGAAAAACAAATTACAACAAAAAGAAAGAACAGATCTACATTTATACATGAAAGTGATCTAAAACTAGTGTCCTACAACCACCCAGCGAGATTATCTGTGCTGTACCGCCCTCTGCTGGCTGACAAATGCACTGCAGTGGACATTCTGATAACTCAATCAGCTCTGGGCTTCCTTCTCTTGGACTCAGATCAGGACAAATCTGACTTCAAAGCCATGCATTTCTTTCCCAAGACCAGCATAAGACCCTCGACAAGAAATTAGAGCGTGACAGAGCTTGAAAGAGTCTGGAATAGCCTTTACTTGGTCTTTTTTAACGGCCTACTCAATATGCCTGTTATATCCATATCTGATTGAATGTTCTGAAAAAAAAACTGGATCAGGAAATGAAACACTTTGTAATGGAATATGAATCATAAAGTGCCTTAAGTGTATTTGTATTACAGTGCAAACGTTTGAGCACTGCAGGTCAAATGACGTTCAGTTGATTTTCTAAGTGAAAATAAGTTAACGCATCCTTTGCAGCACTATTTGTAGTTTTTCTTGAATGCTAAAACATGCATAACAGAACTGGGGTCGACTTAATCTTCACTGTCACTCTCTTAGCAAAGCAGAAGTGTCCTTTTGTAAACGTGTTAACACGTTCTCACTTCTTTCAGTCATTTTTCACACACTTTTCCAGAACAACTAACACAGATCTCATACAAAAATACAAAAGTTCACTGGATAACACGTCATGAACTGGATGACCTGGGAGTTGATGCCAGGCCTCTCTGTCCTAACACAAATAACACAGCACATAACTGTACAATAACCTGAGTGAGAGGTTCCACAGGGCTATATATTTGGCCCTCTTTCACTCTAATGGATAACAGGTCTGTGTTTAAAAAGGCGATTTGAAACAAAACCTGTAGACACTTTGAAGCCACGAACATGAGCTCAAAACAAGAATAACCCACAGGAAGTTGATGTCTGTGTGTCCTATTCTCAAACTAACCAACAAAAACTGGGACATTTTCCATTTTATTGTAGTGATATGAATAAGAGACAGCACGTCGTTTACTGACAGCTTACAGAAAATCCTCTTTAGCACCCGAGTGAACTACATAGTGCACGGCTGTTAACCCAGAAATCAGTCATCATCAGCTGCTGATGTAAACAGAGCTTTCAGACAAGTGTTTATCAAAGAAACAGGTAACATGTCAGACTGAGATATAAAACTGATTTAAAAATGACAGACGTACTACTGAGACTGAAAATAGGGCTTCTGAATGGACAAAAGTATTTAAGCAACTATGAAAAACTATGTACAATTGCTGTTTACTTGCACATTTTATATTTTGTATTTATCCCAATGTGTTAAACAAAATAATAGAAATGCAATTTCTCCAGGGGTGTTCAAACTTTTGCATATGACTGTATATAATTATTATTTGTTGTCAATCATATCTAGTTTTGAGATATATGACATAAAAAGCTCCATTTAGCATTAGTAATGGAAAGCATGACTGGTCCTGTTATGAAACAGCGTCAGATATACGCTTATATTTATATAACATTTTATGTATAAATGTACTAGTGGTCTATCTAGTATCAATAAACTGTGAATGTTGAATATTAAAATGAATGTCACGATTAATCAATGAAAATGCAGCACGTATATAGTTGCTAGGCCTAACTCATACTCAGGCACTTCATGTGTTCATCGTTTATGGGCTGAATTTCAAACTTAAGACAACATTGTTAATGTAAGCTACAATTAAAATTACAGTTCTTGCTATTAAAAAGAAATTACAGCTTTAAACCACAATTTCAATATGAAAATGCTATATTTTAAGAAAAAAAAAGTTACTTTTAAGAAGTCCTAAAATTGTAATAAATAATTAAGTGTGATATTGTTTGTCATGTTCATTTGTAGTAAAACATCTTGGAAAGCTACTGTCCCCAAACTTTTGACCGCGTAATTACTTAAACAGAAACCATTTTAAATAATCAATTCTGATTCATTAAAAGTTGGACGGCTGTCATTACCAGGTAGCTCTTCAGGCGTATAAAGTCCACCCTCATGAGGAGAGACTTGCTGGAGTTGCAGCTCAGGACTTTGATGCGCTCCACAAGGTCAGCACAGAACTGATAACCTCCTTTCAATACGCACAGAACCACGATGTCATGGTCTCCCAGGTCATCCATGATGTTCCTGGCCAGCCTCTCCGTCCTGCCACAAATAACACAGCACAAGCACATAACCTGAGTGCGGGGTTCCACAGGGTTATATATTTGGCCCTCTTTCATTCTAATGGATAAAAGATCTGGTTTTAAAAGGTGACCTGAAACTAAACCTGTAGATATTTTGAAGCCATGAAAATAAGCTCAAAATAAGAATTAACCACAGAAAGTTGATATCTTTGGGTTCTATTTTCAAACTAATCAACAAAAACAGTAAATTCTTACATTTTATTTTAGTGATATGCATGAAAGACAGCATGTCACAGCAGTGACTTCACAGATGCTTAAGTATTATTTTTATTATTTTATAATTTTGATGCTTGTTTTTCAGTTTAAATTATTAGAAAAATGCTATGTTAAATGTACACTCTTAAAAAAAAGATGATTCTTTAAGGATTCTTTAGCAAATAAAATGGTTTTAAATAGAACCATGAACACTCAAAGAACTTTTTGATGATGACAGGGTTCCTTGCATCATGAAAGTGTTCTTCAGATTGATGGAAAATGTGCATAAATGTGAACAGATGGTTATATAGAGAGTTTTTAAGCACCTCAGTGTCACTGCTGGACTGAGAATAGTCCACCAGTCAAAAATATCCAGCCAACAGCGTCCTGTGGGCAGCGTCCTGTGACCACTGATGAAGGACTAGAGGATGACCAACACAAACTGTGCAGCAGCAGATGAGCTATCGTCTCTGACTGACTGACAAGGTAGGAGTGTCTAATAGAGTGGGCAGTGAGTGGACACAGTGTTTAAAAACTCCAGCAGCACTGCTGTGTCTGATCCACTCGCACCAGCGCAACACACACTAACACACCACCACCACGTCAGTGTTACTGCAGTGCTGAGAATGATCCACCACCCAAATAGTACCTGCTCTGTGAGGGTCCATGGGGGTCCTGAACACTGAAGAACAGGGTAACAAAGTATGCCGAGAAACAGATGGACTACAGTCTGTAACTGTAGAACTATAACATGCTCCTGTATGGTCAGTGGAGCTGATAAAATGGACAGTGAGTGTAGATACAAGTTAATGTTATGGCTAATCAGTATATAATATTCATAAATATAATAATATAAATTATTTTTAGTCACATATTCAGTCTGGTTTACAAAGATTTACACTAGCAAATAAATACTAATGTTCTGATTGTAAATATATTGGTAAATACAAAGACTTAGCTTAAACTACTAGGCATCTGTTAGTCTGTCTCTCATGTTCTAATGAGTGATTTTAACAGGTGAACTATCCCTAATTCTAATATACAGGTTCCCAATTCAAGTCCTGTTGATCCCATGCACTGCAGTTTTGTCTCTTTGATGATCTAATAAACTTCACTCAACACATTGACCCCTTTATACATTGATTAAGGCCCAATCCCATTTCTTATTTTTACCCCTACCCCTTGTTTTTGAGGGTCACTTTGCCACTTTGAACTGAGTTACAGGGTAGTGGTTGAAATCTTCCTCTATGAAATGAGACCCTCAAATAAAAAGAGCATTACTTCATTAACAGCTACCAGCGCTGCTCTGTAGGCGACCCTGCCAGTCTGCAGTGACAGCAGAGGAGGGTAAAGTTCAGCTCCTCACTGCTTGGCTTTAGTTACATTTAGGGCATCATATGCCTTCAAAGGGGGCAATTATTTATTATCACCCACCCCTAATTCTTCTGTGATATGAAGCTGAAGTCAGATATTCACCAGCTTCTTGTTCGAATTTTCCCGGTCCACCTTAAATGGTGATGCCTGAGGCGCCAGACTGTAACTGCTGAACTATTTAAGGTGGAATGGGAAACTTAACTAGCTAGCTACTGAGACATCATCTACTACTAGATTTTTTAAGTTTGTTATGAAGAAAACGACCATAATACATCGAAACTACATTAAACTAAGATAATATGATGGTTATTGAATTTTTAACAGAGAAAATTCTCACATTTCTGGGTTTCTTTGGTCTCTTGTTCTCCATCTTGCTGGTTTTTCTTTTTTTCTCATATCACCCCTAGACGTCAACACGAAAAACGGAAGGGTAGGACTAAGTGGTAGGGGCGAGGGGTGAAATGGGACTGAGCCCTAGTTGTGCCAGAGCAGCAAAACATGAAAACAGGCTAAGCATGGGGTCCCCAGCACCGAGACTGAAAACCACAGAGCTGATGTTACCTGTCCATGATGACGCCGTGGGGAATATAGACGCAGTCCAGATCCTCTGAGTAATGCTCCGGATGGGTGAAAAGGTCTAGGCGGTACCCTGGCCAGTCATCAGGGATCTGACAACAAAGGGACATAAGAATTATACGTTTAGTAGCTGATGTAATAGCTCTCAATCAAGCTGTTCAGGTTTGGTATCATAGCTGAATAACTCGCACAGTCAATAAAAGCCCCCTGAATTCAAACAGAGACGATGCTGATTTGTAGAACTAAAGAATACCAGTTTATTTAGGCCAGATCTGCCTCACATAATCAGTACTGAAACTCAAGATGAAGTCTGTCACCACTGATTAGGTTAGTAATGGTTTAATCTATGGATTATTTTGATGCCTAATTAAGTTGTGTGTAAAAGCCAGGCACTAAAAACCCTGAACAGTCTTTCAAAGATTCCAAAACAATTCACTGGGAAAAATAAACAAGCAAGTCTTTTAACAGTCTTCTTTAAAAAAGAATGAGTACATATTTACATGCAGAAATGCGCACAAATGAGTCTAACAGGCTCTGTTTCTTCCTGAGAATTTAAAGCATGCATTATCATACAAACTGCCAAACCATTGCTGATTAACTGAGAAAGTAAATTTCATTTTATTATTTTTAAATCAGATCCATCACCTGAATCTGCGAATCGTGACATCCCTACTGAAGACCTACAGTCTTACATTTTGTTGATTTTCTATAGGAAAATGATTTTAAACCTTCTCTAGAGAACACACTTCAATACAGTATTTTCTGCTAATTTTAGTGCACAATTTCTATGTATGTGCTGAATGTAACATATTAAAATATTAAATGTGCTCAGGCCACCTTTCATGTTATACTTTTTTCCCCCCACTATGTAAAATTCAGCAAGTAAACAGAAGTGATGCATTAAAATGTGCAGAAGTGTGTTCTCTGTAGAGGATGTGTTCCTTATTGTCATCAACAAAACTCGTCATTTGACCAAAGGGCCCAACTTTTGCAATCAACTGTATGCATAAATGTCTGGCTGAGGTGTAAAACATGGACGCTGACCGAAAGTGTTGTTTAAGCCAGAAAAACTGCTTCTAATAGTCATCCTCTGTATTTACTATTCTCCCTAAAGGGGAATTCCATCCATTTTCTCAAAAATTCCACTTAATTACACTGTCAAGATGTAAACAGAGTCATTCAGGGTGGTTTGGTGTGAAATGCTCTGTTATAAAGAAACTTTCAGAGTCAGAATTGTTCACAGCAGTGGTGATAGGAACCAGACGTCTGAAGAGCTTAATGCCTGTACAAGCTACATCAAAGAAAGCTGGCACATGAAATGGTTACAGTTACTTTTCATTATGTCTGAGGGTTTGTTTACGGTAGTTTAGAGATAGAAGACTGAAGATTCTGCCCTAAAACATCCTTTTTTAAATCTGTCCAAGGCGGAGTGGTACGTGGAGGGCGTTGTTAGGAAAACAGTATCCAAGGAAAATGTGTTTTCTCCAGATTTACCATATCATTATCAACATCACAAAGCATTACAAAATTACAAAAATTACATTAGAAAAACTGAAGACTGAGAAACTCAGAAACTCACTGGTGGTTTTGGATAGTAAATAAAATGTCTATATTTGTGTTGTTGTCATGGCGACCCCTGGTTCATATCACCACCACTGTAAAGAAATCTGAGTCTCTACAGTCAATCATTTCACACCAAACCACTCTGAATATCTTTGTTTACAGCTCCACAATTGAATTGTGCAGGAAAATTTATATATTGGTTGAATGTCCCTTTAAATTCTTGGTAGAAACTGGTGGTGCTCAAATTCTTTAAGGTCTTTGTTCTTTAAGCATACAAAAGTGCTTTTAATGAATATTTGCAACTTTTTGAGAGTTGCTGGTACTTAAATATTTTAAGATCGGGTGCAGGACTTTTACTTTGAAATTTTGGTCTGATTTACTCTCCACTTCTTTAAAGTAAACATAACTTACTCAAAAGTTAATTTAATCATGTTTACCAATGCCAACAGCTTCGTATTTGAGCCATAGGATAAATATTAAAACATAAATTAACAGTAAATCAACATGAAAACTAAACTTTTCGCTGCCTCATTTGCATATCGCTTAGCAACAAAGCTGCACCGCAAACAACTTGTAGACTTCGCAGACGCGAAGCTTGTTGTGTCGAACAAGTTTGAGCGAAATTATTCGAAAGTTAGAAGGATGCGGGTTCATTTACCACGATTCCTCTGCCTCTGTCCGCGGGTTTATTGTTTCCCGACGGTTCTGCCATGTTGGGTCTCCTCTGGGAAATGTTCTCGGACCTTCCTCACCATTAGTGATAAACGATTCATGAACGAATCACTTTTTTAACCCAGCTCCTGTGAGCAGCGATGGTCCGACTCTTGAGTGAATCGTTTTACGAGCCGATTCATGTGAGCCGCGTCGGTGTAATCCTGAAAGGAATCACATTATCGACTAGATTCCAGTGAATCATTCGATCTTTCGACTCGAACGAATCGGTCTTCTTGGACGTTGTTTTTTGAATCGAATCCGGAGAGTCGATTCGCAAGAACAAATGATTCAAAATTTCATAAACAAGGATAGCTTTGATAAGAGCTAGATAGCAGGTCTGTTTCCTGTGACTCCCCAAACTTTTGTAGGCTATGTGTACAGTAACATTTGGCTAGTAACTGCTCCCACTTTCCTCAGAGCATTTTACAGAGCCCCTTAAATGACATGGTGATTATTTTGTGAAAAGACATGGCCATGAATTATTATACTGAGGCCACAAATTAATACGTTTAGGCCACGAAGTACTATATTGAGGCCAGAAATTGCCTTACTGAGGCCACAAATTAGAATATTGAGGCCACGAGTGACCATATTCATTCATTCATTATCTAAACCGCTTAATCCTCCTGGGTCGCGGGGGTCGCTGGAGCCTATCCCAGGGCTCATTGGGCAGAAGGCATTCCATCGCAGGGCAGACACACAGACATACACACTCTCTCTCACACACACACACCTAGGAGCAGTTTAGTATCTTTGGCCACCCACTTCAACACTGTGCCACCCCCGAATTACTATATTGAGGCCACAATTTACTTTTCTAAGGCCACAAATTACTGTTTTGAGTCCACAAATTAATATACTGAGGCCACAAGTTTTTTCATAACTTGTGACACTAATATATTAATATGTGGCCACACCTTGTTGATAATAATCACTGTGTCACCTTATGGGCTCCGTAGTATCTTCCTGTGCTAAGTGGCATTATATTTGTAAGGAACGTAATCAACTTTTTCCTCACATTTAGCTCATATTCTGGGTTTGACTGTGTTCTGCTCTGTTGGCTGAGCACATGGACTTTATTGCTGTTGCACGCATTTCTTACTTTTAAGCTTTAGCATTTAGTTTTAGACCAAAACAATTCCTATGCTGATAGATGGACTAAGAGGCTCTACTGCAGTTCTGTTGGCCTCTGTCGTCATTCTGTAGCCGGTTTTATGCCCATATTAGTAACTAGTAATTAGTTTTTCTCTGTGGTACAGCAGTCACTTTCTGGTGCCTGAAGTGGCACCATTTAAGGTGGAACGGGAAAATTCGAACAAGAAGCTGGCAAATAAGAAGCTAACTTCAGCTTTGTGTAATAAGGTGTTAACGTTAATCTATTATGACTGTCTACATAATTATTTTATTTATTGTAAATAAATAACTACTACATAAAGTTAAGATCCTCTGAATAGACTGTTAAATGAAATGAGCTTAATATAAAACCTGAGGAAAAACAATCACATCAACAGGTTCTCTGTGCCTCACCAACCACACGACCATATCTACATCACACTAGATAGACATCACACAGACATGAGTGTGGATCACTGCGTTCCCTCCATTTTATAATCCTATCCCACTTTCTGAGTGTGATATTCCTGAAATAGTGTAATTTTGGACAGTATCGTTCTTAAACTGCCGCTCTGTAATGGTACTGAATGCAGTCCAGCAGCGATGCTGACCGCCCTAAAATGGCAGTGCCATTGACATGCCTGGCTGGACCCAACTGGGCCTGGCATCTAGGTATGTATATCTATGTATAAGACCCTCAGGCCCCCTCGCTTGTTGAAAGTAATTTCAGAGCACAAGCAGAATGGTCTGTGGACTAACCGGCGTTGCCGTGTTTTATCCTCACAGCAATTTAGCAGGCCAGTTACAGGATACCATTATATTTAAGATTATATTTAACTATGACGTCACTGGGTTTTAGCTAGAATTTGGGCCTGGGACCAAATTAAGTGGATTATGTTGGGCGAATTAAGATCTTATAGACTACATCAACATATATTTTTGCCACACTGAAAACCTCTCCTGTTGAAAAGGCCAGCACAGAAGCTGGTTTATGCCGGTCTAGTGCTGCTCTGGTGCTGGTTTATACCAGCACCCAAAACATAACATATGCTGGTTTTGCTGGTGACCAGCTATGCTGGTTTTTCTAGCTGGGTCCTTGACATTCAGTGCTAATGGAGAGGCAGTCCTCAAGCTTAATGCTGTTAACTTACTCAGTGCGGTGAATGGATCTGCAGGGCTTTCGTTGCAGTTACCCTCAGACAATCAGGAGCTCTGTCTTACCGAGTGTCTCCATTATCCCCCATTAGTCTCTTCATGATAGCAAACTGAGAAAATGTTATGCATGACCGAAGATCATGCGATGGAAGCGACGTCATAGGTCATCCTCTAAGTCATCTGCTGCGACTGATCGATTCCTTCTCAGTTTTCCACACTAAGCCTTATTTTCTATCTCGGCATCTGTGACACTGTGCTGTTCCGTCCCAGGTCAGACCGTGTACTCTAGATGAGTTTCAGGACAGTAGGTTACAGACAGGTAAATCAGCTACTCGTCAAATTCATGGTTTGCTATTTAGAGAGAAAGAACGAGGCCATTCCACAGGATTTATCTGACTCAGGCTTATCTTTTCCCATCTTCCTCTGTTCTTTGTCCCAGAATCATCTCTATCCCTGGTTGCTCTCTGGCTGCCCTAGAAACTAAAGAAATCAATGCCTGCTGTGATGGTTCAGTTAGAAATCTGGCATTTTGCTGTTATTTGGCAATTCCGTTCACTTTTAATTGCCTACCCTGCTGAAAAAGGACGTTAGAACCATTAGAATTTAAACCTGATGATTTTGTTTTCTAATGGGAACTGGCTTAATGGTTATTAGTAGAGACCACTAGTTTCCTGTAGGACATCTTTAGATCCCATTAGGAAACCATCTGAAATCAGTCCTAGAACGCCTGTTAAACCATTGGAATCCTTTACGCTGTGATATCAACCCATCAGGAAACCACAGAATACCATTAGTGAATACTGGACACCACCAGAAACCAGTATAGACTTTTTATGGTTTCTATGATGCAAGTTTAATTAATAATATAGTCTTAACACTGGAACCTACAGAAATCCAGAGAGGCTGTGAGGTAGTTATAATTTTCTGGATTGTTATTTTGAAATAACGAGTTAAGTATCTTGTTATCTCAAGATAACAAAATTGTTACCTTGAAATGACGAATTACTTATCTTGTTGTTATCTTGAGATAAGTTATTTATCTTGTTATCTCAACATAAAATTGTTATCTTGAAATAACGAGTTACTTCTCTTGTTATCTCGAGATAATAAAATTTGTCATCTTGAGACAGCAAGTTATTTATCTTGTTATCTCAACATAACAAAATTGTTATCTTGAAACAACAAGTTACTTATCTTGTTATCTCTACATAACAAAATTGTTATCTTGAAATAACGAGTTGCTTATCTTTTTATCTCAAGATAACAAAATTGATATCTTGAAATAATGAGTTACCTATCTTGTTATCTCAAGATAACAATCCAGAAAATTATAGCAACGGCTCATGGCCTCTCTTACGGAGCCCCACTGGTGACTGTGGTCCTGTATAAATAAAAATAATGCGTGGTCACGCCTTATTAACGTGTGGGAATGAGATCCTAATGCGTGGCCATGACTTAGTAAGCCATGATCTCGTTCCCATGCCTTACTAAGTCATGGCCACGCATTAGGATCTTGTTCCCACACTTTATTAAGTCGTGACGCATTATTTTTATTTATACAGGATGTCACCAGCAGGGCTCCGTCCTCTTTGGACTTCCATAGGAACCGTTTTCGCAGACTGAAGCACCTTTTCTCTGTTGTTTTGATGGGAGAGACTCGTTTTGAACACTGCTGTTGCGCACTGTACGCCTCACCTCTTAGGTACCATGCACAGCTTTTGGTCCCATTACTTTCTTTAACTGGCCCTTGATCACTTCAGCTCACCACTCGGATGTACATCATTCCTATGTTACACAACTGGCCCCTCGTGGCAGAAGGACAGGAGGGGACAGTGAGGAGAATAAGAGAATAACTGCTTTAATTCACTATAAGCTCTGATGTAGAACTAAATGTGGTGTAGTGCCCTTTCTTTTGTTGCTGTTAGCTGTATAGCCTTTAGCATGCTAACTAGCCAGTTAAGCTAACCAGTTAAGCTAACTAGCATCCTAAAGCTCAGCAAATCAAAGGCTAAATGTTTGGAACATTGCAGATATTAAAGTAGTTGACTGCTGTGGATGGCTTTGTCCACCTTTGTTTGGTGTTAAAATCACACTGATTTCTGGGGGAGTTCTGCTTCTGAAGTGAACATTTGTGTTCACTTGATCCCTCAGCCCCACGAGAGCTCAACTAATAATGATCACTTGAGCTAATAAAGTAGTGGGCTACATAGCCGTTTTTTTCTGTGCTGATCAATCAGATGAAAGGTAAGTTGGGCTTTCAGTGATGGTTCTAACCAGTGGTGGACGAAGTACACAAACCATGTACTTGAGTTAAAGTAGAGATACCCAAGGTAAAATATTACTGCAGTAAGAGTAGAAGTTCCTCCTATTAGACCTCCACTTGAGTAAAAGTATTTGCCTTCAAATGTACTTAAATATCAAAAGTGAAAGTACTAAAAGATTAATTATGGCTCTGATGTTCTATTATCATTTTTGTAACAAGACTCGCTTCATTAACTCATTTTAGGTGAAAATACTCCAGTGTCTCTCTTGGTAGACCAGTATTTTAATAGAATGTCATTAATTAGTGACGCTGATGTCTATTAAAATTATCATAAACACAAAACACTGAAGGCAAACAGTTTCCATCAGGTAGAACTGAGTGGCTCTGAAATCACTTTTTACAAACAAGCAAGTTTCAGTTTAAGATTTATTTGAACTTAGTTACAAGTTTAAGTTTAATAAAAACTTTAAACTCAGATTCACAAATGAGTTTCCTTTACTAAACTGCATCTGTAGGTCTCTGTTCA